GCAGCGGGTTGCGATTGCACACGCCGCAATTTCACGACGCCTAATCCAGCTCTGCTTCCCTCCTACTTCCCTATACTCTTTACTCCCGGTCGCTGGTGAACGCTGGTGGACGCTGGCAGACGCTGGCAGACGCTAGATCGATACCTATACTTTCTTAGCCCTCGAGACCCTCATAGACGCTGGTAGACGCTGGCAAACGCTAGATCGATACCTACACTTTGCTAGTCGCTGCCGGACGCTCGCAGAGGACTGGTGGACGCTGCCGCAAAATATGAATGCAACCTGAAGCTGCGTCCTTACTAATACAAGCACTGGTTCAGATCTCCGTAGATACGCGCCTTTCCTATGCCAGTGACGTCGCGTACGCTTTACTATATTTGCATACTAAAAAATGCTTGCACAGGTTGGTGAAAATAATCTTGAAAAAATACGATTGAAAACAATGGGTAGAACCAAGGCCGCCTCATAATAACACTCGCCCTTTTGAAGGCACATTCCACATTAGCAGAACATGCGCAAAGGATTCATTTGTGAACTGCGGCGCTTCACATGTGTCAAAATAATGAGCGCACAGACGAGAGACAAGACGACGAGAGGCAGGAGAGCACGAGAGGGACAAGCAAAACCGTGACCTCAGGTAGCTTCAGGACTTCGCGATGACGTGCGACGACGCGCTGTAGCGCACTACAACAGCGTCTCAGTCCTATAGACGCGAACGCAGCCTCATGCGGAAATTGATCGGCGCCGCCGGCGCCGCCTTAGCGGCCAGGTCCGATCGATACCAGCCTGAGTGATACGGCAATGCGTTTCCCCCAGTTCCCCTATACTCTCTCAATACATAAGCGACACCCATCGATTGCCGCCTATAGGAATGGAGCACTGTTGCAATCGTGGCGCGCTATAATGCGTTACAGCGCCTCTACAGGCGCCATCATGAAGTCTGAACGCTGCCTTATTAGCGACAGTTCCGAGTTGTGTTCATGTTGAAAAGAATGTGAGGACAGATAGTGGAGGCGCAGTTCGGCGACGGGGGCATTTTGCACTTTCATTGCTCCACTATTCCGGTTTGCATACTTTACCTGATGAAACCTGTGAACTCCTGTGAAGCTGGAGCAAGCTCATCGAGCCACAATGGTGAAACCTGTCAACTCACGAAAAGACTCTCTAGATAAGCGACACTTTGATGGGAAATAGCAAAAGTGAAGGATGCCCCACCCCCTTCTCCCCCGCCCCCCTCGTCACCAGAATGCGCCGATAATGTAGTGAGAAACCCTTGCTCAAGTCTCACGGTTAATATCAGAAAGAAAAATACCGCAGAAAGAGTCAACCAATCTATACAACACCCGAAACAGAAACCTACGTTTTTATCTAAAGGCATAGGTCCGGTACCGCCCATAAGATCTGCGTGACTCTGTGAATTTCTGTGACTTTGCGTAAGCATGATTACAAGACTTCTGACGGTTCACTTTCAGGGATATTGCATTGCGCAATTGCTTATTAGAAGAAGACCAAAATCGAGTGAAGCTCTCCGACTTTGGTTTATCGAAACGTGGAGATTCTTATAAAATACCAAAGGAGGAAAATACCTTTAAGATTACCAAAGGACCCGGAAACAATAACACGCTATCACGATGTTGAAGATTTTTCCAACGAATGCTTTCTGGTCGGCGCTGTTTATCGACGGGGGGGGGCATTTTGTATTATAATTGCTTCCCTGGTTCCGGTTTACAAATCTCACTCTGGTAAAACTTGTGAACGCTTGTGAAGCTGGAGCAAGATCGTCTAGCCACCATCCTAAAACAATTCAAACTCGAATAAAAGGAGTACCTACTCTCCTTTTCATTACGGACTGTCGGTGCGTATCAGCCAGTAGGAGTGCGCACACTGTTTGAAGCCGTTCTCAGCCTTTTCGTTGAAACGCGTATGCGACAAAAAGTGGTAGAAAACGAGTAATACGAAGGATAATGCTGTCATGTCATTTGCTCACTTCAACAACTGGTGCAGAAAGACTTTGGCACCGCGGAAAACGCAGCCGCACTGACCCGCCCCGACAGTCCGTAATGATGAGGAGTGTAGATGGGTTGGCAAATCTATGAAAAGCAGAATGCTCCCCCTCAGTCGATAAACAGCGCCCTTACTGTCTAACCTTTTGGACTCGAACCCGTACTCATTTGTGAATCCACAGAGCGATTTGAAGAATGTGCTCGCCTAAAACGAACTAAATATCGGAGAGAGTTGTTTTCCCGTTCCAAATTTGATTTCAATTGGATTGTCCTATACAAGAGGAACAGGATCGTATTTGACCTTTGGAAGAGGAGAGATCGCATTTGTTCTGTCCCTCCCCCTCCTATTTCAATTGGTGGCGCCACAAAGTACGGTGTCTCAAGAAGCGCATTAGGGGGAGGTATCTACGCCCACCCCTCTCCTTCGACGTCCACAATTCGCGGTTAGCTACTTAGCGCGTTACAGCGTATTACAGCGCGCTGTAAGCGCTGTAACGCGCAGTCAACGCCGCTACAACTCTCGCTACTGTGCGATGACTGCGCTTAGTACAACGCGCTTGAGCGCGAGTGAGAGCGAGGCATCACTAATTGGCAAGCGTAGTTACAATCGTATCAGCACTACAAGGCGGTCGCCACCTCGTGGCTTCGAGGGAGCGGGCGGACAATAGACGAGCGTCGCGTTAACCAAGCCGCAGTCCATGGTATCGGTCGGCACTGGTTGCCGCTGTGGCTTTCAGGGAGCCCACCGGACTTAAGAAATGTCGGCCCTGTAGCTCTCTCAGAACACAGGCCGGGCGGTCGGCTAATAGATTCTCGCCCGCAAGTTGCGTCAGACGCACGAGGCACTGGAGCGTCTTGCGGTGGGTAGCGGTCGACTCGTGTTCATTGCGAACTCCTGAACGATGATGACCGCTCACCCCTGAAAAGCGCATAAATACTATGTGGAGAACTCATTAGGCCTAGCTCACCGCCACCATTTGAGCGTCAATTATTCCAAAAATATTTAGGCAAGCACCTGAGGTGTTGCGTACTGGAATTTACACCACTAAATGTGACATCTACTCCTATGGAATTCTTATTTGGGAGATATTTCATAATGCTTGAGAACCCATCTATAGCCCAACATTCGATAACAAGACCATACGTCAAAAGCGTAACTACGAATTTGTTATAAAAAAATTGCTTAGGAACGGGAAGAAGCGATCTTGTCTGAAAACACAAGCCGTTCGCAAAGAGACCCTTGAAACGCTGTCTATCGCACTACGATTGCGAAGGCCCGACATCTCTGGAACAGTGCTCGCCTGTACGGACACAGTGATCGCTGTACTGAGAACTGTTACAAACGCAGCCAACGTCTTGGTTTCAGGGCCGGTGGCATTTATCTATTGGAAAGAAGCCGCCTCTGTTGAGCTGCTTTCAACCTCGGAGCCCCCTCTCTTCTTCAGAGAGCATAACGGTCGTCACGTAGTGACTAAATATCCCCTTCCAGAATTTTCTCCACAAACAGGAGCAAACCCTTGTTCACTGCTTCAGCCGCTATGCTCTGGTAAAACCATGGATCTTCGCCCTCCAGGGAGCGCCTACTTACGTCACTCTCTGAACAGCACCTGGGAACCACGAGATACGGGTACCGCACTCTTAACCGCGCTCACGCATTTTGGCACCACATCTGACATAAGATGATCAGAGAAGGTCATCAGAGGTCACATTCCTGTTGAGGACACAAATGTGATTTTCTGCAGAACTTCCTAACAGAAAATCGGAGCCCGCTTTCAGCAAGTGGTATTCGTAATAAGGGCGCATACTATCTGTATATTCAGTTGTTGTCGCTGAAATCAATCGGGGAGGGTCAGGAATTCGAGCCCGGTGCGAGCAGCCCTTTCCAACAGACATGGAATCGCTCAAATCGGCAAACGACAGGGAAACAAGTTGGCATTCAGCGCGCAAACCCACATGACGCTGACACGCCCGACTGGCTCTCATGATTACTGACTGTACATAGCTGCCTCTATGTATAACGAAATGTGGTAGTTTAGTGTGGAATGGTTCTTAACTTGACGCCAAGTCTAGGGGCAAATGGCCAGAGAGAGTGCCTCATTCCGGATCGGTGAATATGAATAACCCTTCATGATCAAGCGTTTGAGCGAAAGAACCTTGAGCTCACAATTAGCAAGGCAATAGCGGTGGTGGAGTAACGGATAGCGCAAAGCGTACGGGTTTGAGGTGAAGCAGTGCAGTGTCTCACGGGTTGAGCCACTCGCGCGTAGCATTGAAGGAAAGCATTTGCCGAGTATTGCGGCTTAGTAGTCGGTCCTATTTTCGGGTACTGCGCCTGAAACTTTCCAACCTATCTGCCTGAACAATCCAATCTAATATTTCAAAATGTTCGATATATTTAATGAGTAAATTTACACTACTCCAGATCTCTGATCCACAGTTTCGACAACTGTCCGATCCAAAGTTCCCAAAGACGTGAAAGCTTCTTAGCGACTTCTGTTTGGAAAGCAAGATCTGCAAACGCCCAACCGCGCTACCTTGTCGGATATGTTGCGAGGCAGGACAGAGGAAAAGGTGACGGAATAAAGCAGTGTTAGTTTCAAATGGAGTTCCGTGTTCAATTGTGCAGGCTGGTTAAGAACCGCAAGCTGTAAGAGCTTCGGCCTTTTATCATTTGAATGGGCGTGGAATGGAGGCTGGAAGCACAGTGAAAGTGAACACATTCTGGGTTTTCCGCCTTGGCTTCGTGTTGGGGTGGAGTCGATGCCCAGCTCATCGCGAACCACATAAGCTTCCAAGCCTCATTGTAAGTAAGGATAGCGAACAGCCAAACGTGAGACGGCTCAGTCATGTAGTCGTGCTGATCCGCTCGAATTGGAACAAAGGTGGCAGTGTGTGGCGTGTCTCGTGCTGCCTGCTTGATCTGTAAAGCCCCAAATGGCATCTGCCACTACCATTCAGCCTGATTTCCGCTCACTTTTGAGTGATTAGAAAGGGGGTGCTGTGAAGTGTAAATGTGCAGTTGGGGTCGCGAATGATAGGTAACGCCCAGAGTTCAGAAACCATACCGTATAGTCTGGTTCGCTGCGGATGGAGGGGCGTGTCAGGCAGTATGACTGTGCCACGGCGCCAAACCCGTTCTCTGCCAGTTGCTGAAGCAGGTATGCGACAACAGTTGGTAGAAAACGAGTGGTTGGAACGATATGATACAGTCTTGTCGCTTATATTCTTCAACAGACGGTGAAGAAGGGGGTTTGGCACGCGCTGAACCCATCCCCCTGACACGCCCCTTTGTCCACAGCGAACTGATCTACATTTGTTCCGTTCGGAGCGCGAGCAATAAACTGCCTTACATTCGGGGCAGTGATAAATCTAGAATTTCAAGCTCTGTGCCAAGATGAATTAAACTCTGTCTGTATCCAGAAATACCCAGTAAACACCGGGTCCATGAGGGTGAGGTGACTACTTGGGCTGTTTCAAAAGGTCTAACCTCGAAAGAAGAGAGTGGAGACAGATCAAGGCTAGTCGCTGCCGGAGGATGTTGCCGAATACGGGTAGACTTTTGTAAAGGGTTCGGGGTGTGGGAGCCGTTCATGTGTGCGAAAAGGGGGACTGTGCGAGGTCCTAGTGGTCACAGAAAGTTATGTAGAAGACAGTATGCAAACCAGAGGAGAAAAACGATACGATTGAAAGGACTGAATTTGAGCAGTCGTAAGAGCGCTCGGGCGATGCATAACATCTGCCTTCAAAAAGGATTCAATACCTCTTTACCACGTTTCCTTTCCAATAACTCCCATTTTCACCGTTCCCTAATGGGTGTTCTGAAAATTCAAAGAGAACAACTCTTCAGGGCAAAGGACCAAGTGAAGCCAAAATCCAGGGGCAAGAAGGTGAGCTCAATGTATCTGATTTTAGCTGGTAAAAGCCCAATCTTTACTGACCGTAGTAGTGGATTCACGCCCAACATGTTCCCTCACTCATTGGTGAGCCCCTCACTTTCTATTGAGGGTAACGCGCCACCGAGGAAAGCATGGCAGGCCCGGCCCCGCCCTTACGACCGTGGAGTTTGTCTCTCATTCCTGTCCATCGTGCATTCTTCAGAGTCTCTCAGCAGAAAGCGATAAGATATCACTGAATAAGCAAATTGATGATGTTGCTGGTCTGATTAAGGTATTGCGCGATATTACTATTTATTTCTCATTCTGGCACATCTGCTAAATATTCAGAACTGCCGAGAAGGCTAAGGAAAAATAAAATCCTTCAGCTATAAATATTAATCAAGAATAGCAAAATCTCAATGCCTCATAACTACAATAGTGCACTTTTACAAAAGTCTATCGATTTGCATATTTTCTTCGACGTTCCATATAAACTATTTGCTAAATGTATCCCTTAATAAATTTATAGAGTTATTTATAATTATGTGTCCACGCTCCGATCCATAGTATGCTCGAAGACCACTAAATATAAATACGAGGCGCACGTAGTTCGACGGGGGGGCATTTTGCAACTTCGCCATCTCCCATCCATCTCAATTCGCTCCTCCATCCACGGGCAGCCATTAAGTGGACACCTGTGAGATCTTGTTAAGCCAAGAAATGATATAAGGCAAAAGTTTATAGTCTACCTGTCAATCCTTGTAAAAATTACCTGTCAACACTTTAAACAGTTTTTTTTTTTTATTTTTTTTTGGAAATAGCGTGAGCTATCATTTCTTCTTACTCGTATTCCGATTATTATAAAACATGTTTTCCATAAAGTTCTCCTCATCATTTACGGACTGCGGGCGGGTCAGTGCGGCTCGTTTGGCGCGGTCGCGTCGCTGCGTCAGTAAACTGCTAACGAATGTTTTAACCCAGGGACCACCATACCCTAGACGGACTCCTGGCCAAGGGTACGACAACCTGGAAAGTAATGGTTTCATACATAGCACTTGTAAATCACGCGCTCAACTTGTCATATCCCCGTGACTGGAGTTCAACACCAAAACACGCATTGATCGATGTGGTCCATATCAAAAAGAGCGGGAATGAAGAAGAATGGGCTACAGCGGAAACTATTGATAAGCATTTTATTGAAGGCGGTATCGGAAGGCAACGGGAAAAAGATCGAGTTCTTCTTTGGGCAAGCGATGCCACTGTATTCCCATAAAAAAACATTGAGTTGCTATTGTACCCTTTATGTTGTCTTGGCCTTCAATAGTAATAGCATGTATTATTTGTTTGGTATGCCTAGGGTTCTAATAGGCCCAATATATTTGTATATACTCATAAAAAAGCCAAATTTCGCTTTAACGTTTTCCATGAGCTACAAAGCGTTGACAGTTTACAGATCTTGACTGTGCTGCTCCAGTTACAAGAGTAGATAGGTTGTCCACAGCCAGCACTTGTAAACGGCCGGACGAAAGTGCCAAACTGATGGAAGAGCGGAACGTGCCACGTAGATGGAAGTGAAATGCAAAGCACCCGCCTCCTCCCATGCGACCTAACTTACGCCAATACGAGAACATGGAGCAAACGCAGCACGAATTCCTAAATGTATGTCATGGCGACGTGCGTTGGCACAGGAAGATGACTTAGGGAAGCGCGTAGAGAAGTGGAGTGTCAAATAACATGATTCTGTAGCCTGTGGGGCAGATCATCGACTTTTATCGAAATGACGAGTGAGAGAGACAGCCGGGAATCTGAAGAATTGCTACGCTGCTCACCATAAACACGTTCCAGGTTTTTTGGGACGACTATTATCCGTAACAACTAAACTTTCCATCCGCACTGGATTAGTAACTTGGCACCACACTCCACAAAAGAGGTCAAAAGCACTGACTCCTAGATGAGCTCCGAAAATGTTGTGCAGGCTAAGTGGCATACAAAATGCTTTCATGATTCTGAACGGAAGTATAGGTCGCATGGCGCAATCCGAAAAGGCACGGCTCAGCGCAAACGCCGAAGCTTTATCCTTTGTCCTCATCAGAACCGGATATGAACGAATTCCCACGACTCCCTCGCATACTGTGATACTATGCCAGCATAAGAAACGAAACAAAGACATAGGGAAACAGCGCGGGTTAGTGGCCTCTTGACCCTTTCATGATGTGATACCGGTCAGGA